AAAGCAATATTTACTTGGCAGAAGCTCCTTTGTAATGTCACAAGCTAATGTAAGAGAATGGATGTCACATATAGTAATTAAATCGCATTACTCTAGAAGTGAACGACATTAGATTGCGTCAACGCATATGTACGGATTCACCGAGCCCATGTCATCATTGTGGAATTTCGACCTCATGAACGTGGAATTTCTAACTGGCTCAGGGCCGTAAAATAACAATACGGAATATCTCAATGCAATAACCTAATTAGACCGTTGAGGCTTAGGCGCTGCTGCTCAACACTTGACAGCTTACAGCTCTTTCTCCATCAGCTCCACGCGCTCAAGGCTGTGTTTATGAGCTGTCGCACACAATGTACACACAGCCACTTAAGTGGCAACTGGTGGTTGTGTTGTTTTTTGTTGTTGTTGTCATCACACACGGCCGTGGCACGCTCCGTTGAATAACCAACACAGCAACAACATGAAAACTTTAAAGTTACAGCTCGGACGCTACCACGATGACCTCCCCCATGTGACATCCGCAACACCTTTCAAGGCAACTTTTAAAGGCGTGACATCGCCGTAATCGCCTCTATGCAGTCCCCTGCTCGTACTGGGCGCGCACTCTTACGGTAAACTCATCACGAGCAGACCCTTCCGACACGGCCCCTTGACGCGCATAACAGACAAGAAGGCGCTTTGATGCATCAGTCAACCAACGTTGAGGAGGAGGAAGAGGAGACTCACTCTGCGTGTCGGTCACGGAAATCATGGTGGCGGTGGCGGGACGACGACGAGGAGGAGGAAGGGAGGATGACTAAGAGGATGACTAAGAGGAGGAGGAGAAGCCGTGGGGGATCTCAGCTGTTGCTGGTGCCAGCCGCAGTCGCGTCGGAATCATTCCACGGCCACGTCTACCGCCCGGCGCCACCAGCCAGCAAGGCGCGCTCCCATTGGTCGCACGCGCCACGTCGACCAATGGGAGGCGTCCTTACTTACAGGGCGAGATTAAAAAAACATTTAGGCGCACGAACCGCCTTCCGGAATGGGAAGACGCACGGTCGGAAGGTTGCAAGTGAACGGACGGTAGACGCCTTCCGGATTACTGAAGGAGGGAAGAGATAGCAAAGCAAACAGATGTTGTACACATTAATAAAGTATTAAAGCTTTCGTGACTGCATAAAATTACTCATTGGTTTTTTCAGTAAAGTAACGTATTTCCTATTTAAGCTTCTGTTCATCCCTCCGGCCCCCCCTCTCTCTCTCTGCCTCCCTGTCCGTCTTTCCTCCCTCCTTACCTCTTGGTGGACTTGTATATGTATTTCCACTGACCGTGTACCTCGTATTTTTTCACTCTGTCTATGCTGGTATGTGCAATCCAGAGGTTGAACACGAAATTTAACACTCTTCTGAAATTCGTGGTCCGCCAGGAAGTGTCTAACTGTGTTGTTGGCCTGACTGGATGTGCTTCACATAATGTTTTTTCAGGTTTGTTGAATTCTCGTCTCTCATCTTTTTGTATTTACCTCCGTGATTTGTTCTTGACACCTTGATGAAGATCGCTTGCGTTGTGATCGAAACGTCGTGATTGTTTTTTTGTTTTAACATAATTTTATTGTATTTCTACATACGTGACTTTACCGAAAAAAACAATGAGTTGTACACATTCTTGGTTCTTTCGGTAAAGTCACGTCGAAGGGAAGCAATAAAATAATAAAAATATAAAACAATAAAATTATCACGTTTCGACTGCAACGCAAGCAATCATCATCAGGTGTGAAAACCACAGCAAGAAAATTTGTGTCACTTTTTTTCAAATTTTCTTGTTGTGGTTTGCACATCTGATGATGATTGCTTCTTGTGTTGCAGTCGAAACGTCGTGAGAATTGTATTATTTTATATTTTTCTTATTTAATTGTTTACCTTCTACGTGACTTTACCGAAAGAAGCAATAATATGAATCCCTGCAGTCACGAAAGCTTTAAATCAAACAGACGTTGTACAGTGGTACCTCGAAAGATCGAACTTAATTCGTTCCAAAACCGTGTTCGATCACCGAATTGTTCAAGTTCTGGGGCGTTCGATCTCCGAGGTACCACTATTTATCTTCCGAAAGAGGAAGATAGCAAGTGAACAGGACGGTAGACGTATTCCAGGTTTTGCGGAAGAGAAAAAAGATTCATACTCTTTAGTTCTTTCGGTAAAGTGTAATTACTTCTTGCTGTGACTATCCCACCTGATGACGGAGGCTTGTGTTGCTTCCGAAACGTCGTGATTTGATTAATTTTATTTTTTTAACCTACGTGACTTTACCTAAAGAACCAAAGAGTATGGATCATTGCAGCCACGAAAACTTCAAATCTAGAAGAAAAAACGATTGCAAGTAACCGGACGTTACTCTTTAGTCACGTAGGTAGAAAAATAAAATGAAAAATTTTTATGTTCTTGGTTCTTTCGGAAAGTAACGTAGAAGGGAAATAATAAAATAAAAATAAAATTCTCACGATGTTTCGATTGCAACACAAGCAATCATCATCAGGTGTGAAAAACCACACCGCCACTTTTTTCAAATTTTCTTGCTATGGTTTTTCACACCTGATGATGATTGCTTGTGTTGCAATCGAAACGTCGTGAGAATTGTATTGTTTTATATTTTTATTATTTTATTATTTCCCTTCTACGTGACTTTACCGAAAGAACCAATAATAGACTGTACTTCAAATCAAGATTAAACGGACGTTGGATTATCTTCCGGAATAGGAAGATTGCAAATGAACGAACAGGTGGGAACTCTTCCGGAATGTAAAGATTCCGAGTGAACTGACGGTAGACGTCTTCCGGAAAAAAATTGGAAGATACAAAAAAACATGCGGTAGATAGAAATCCTGTTCTGAACCGGTTGAGGAAATGAAAGGAATTGCTCTTCCGGAAGACGTAGATGACGTAAAGCAAACATTAAAAAAAACAGGCGGAAGATAACTTCTGGAAACCGGGTGGCTGCCTCTGCTGTGTTGTTGACGACATGTTAAAGGCTATTTTTTAAATTTCTGAGTCGAACAATTTGCGTTAGTGTTACTTAAGCATGAAGGTTATACGTTAACAAAATGCTAATAGCAGCAATAAGGTTAACAAACCGGTGTAAACAACATAATCCAGTATAATGATATTAACACAGGGAGGATGTTATTTAAAGTTGAGATAAAATCCCATACTAACCTTAATCTGACAAAACCATATCAACCAGAGTTGTATCCTTAGTCTGAATACTGTACGATAGTAGTTTTGTGTCTTATTTCATGATACCCAGTAATAAGACTAGATCACAACAGCCAGGCTCAATCCCATATTAGCCAGTGTTTTCAGTCAATTCAGAGCCACAGTCTGATCCTATAGGGTTCTGCTGTAAGCAGTAGCAAGCCAGCAACCGACTCGCTAGTGCCCAAAGTCTGATCCCCATACTACTCAGAATCTGATCCAAAATTGACCAGTCTTACCTAAATCCAGACAGTTTGAATCCCAAGACGCATTCACTGTCATCACAGAGACTGAAAGTGAATGTCTTGCTAACCAGCAGAGGTGTAACAATTACCGCGCCTCCCCGCATCACTTAATTATTATTGCATGTTTTCGAATTGGGAATCTAAAGAACCATTCTTGGTTGCAGAAATCAAATGGACATTTGACTATTTCTATTCGTACAATTGGACACATGTCATGACCTTGAGAATCCATATTAATTGGTGTAACTTCTCACTGAGTAGAGATTTCAAGAGTGAGTGATATCCAAGGCAATTAAAATATGCCAGGCAAAATATGATTCCATGCCAGGCCAAATGTGATGTAATACTTACCAGAATATTGTATGATCTGATAATGGACAGAATCTGATCCCATTATCCATATTTGTATCCAAACTAAATCCATACTAACAACTGTACATGTCGAATCCCATACGAACCAGAGGCTGATTCCATGTTAGGATCACTGATTATAATCTCAGGTCCCTCTATGATACTATCCAGAGTTGTCATCCCATTACTACAGCCCCGATTAGGTGGACGGTAATTCCCTCTGTCCCTTCGCCTCTGTGAATACACAGCACAAACTAGCCTTTAGGTGTAATATCTGTCGATTGCCCTTTCAGAGTTTGTAAGAGCATACATAAGCACACCTCCATTGCCCAACTTGGCTTCGCAGAGCAATATCTTCAACCCAGTTTAACCCGTAGGCTTTCGCGACCGATATCATCCATAAGAGGTTTTTTTTTTTTGGGGGGGGGGGGGGGTGGTGGTTAGATCACGTAAATATATAATGTGTCGTTAAGGTCGAGTGGTGGCGGATTTAACGACACATTTATATATTAACGCGATCTAAACCCCCCCCCCAAAACAAAGAACAACCCCGTCCCTTCAACCCAGGTGTCATCACAAGAGTCGATGCCTGCGGTCATTGTCAAAGAGAACTCCTCCTAGTCCATCTCTTGGGGAGTCCACAGTGAGAGACTGCGGGACCACCACCCCATCCACCCCCGGCGTGAGTCGCCAAACTCAACAACATCGCCCCATCACCTCCAGCCAAGCAGCCGACACAGCAGCAGCAGCCGGGGAGGAGGGAGGAGGAAGGAGGAGGAGAGGAAGGGAGGAGAGGAAGGGAGGAGAGGAAGGGAGGAGGAGAGGAAGGAGGAGGAGGGGAGTAGAGGAAGGGAGGAGGAGAGGAAGGGAGGAGGAGAGGAAGGGAGGAGGAGGAGAGGAAGGGAGGAGGAGAGGAAGGGAGGAGGAGGAGAGGAAGGGAGGAGAGGAAGGGAGGAGGAGGAGAGGAAGGGAGGAGGAGGAGAGGAAGGGAGGAGGAGGAGAGGAAGGGAGGAGGAGAGGAAGGGAGGAGGAGGAGAGGAAGGGAGGAGGAGGAGGAGAGGAAGGGAGGAGGAGGAGGAGAGGAAGGGAGGAGGAGGAGAGGAAGGGAGGAGGAGGAGAGGAAGGGAGGAGGAGGAGCTGGAGGCGGACTCCTCTGGGCTTCCCCTCCACCCGCCCCTGCACGACAAATCTCTCCCCCTCCCACTTCACCATTGACCACTTGGCTAACGTCGCTCGCGCCTGCTACGTGTAAACCTCCACCCCCCGCAGCAACTCCTCCTCCCTCCTCCTCACCACATCAACCACCAAAGCAACCACCACGGTCCGTCGCCCGCCAGCCCGCCCGCCCGTCTCATCGGCGTTGAGAAGAAGACACCGACGTTGTGACAGGCACACGGTGTGGTGGAGGAGGAGGTGGAGGGTTTGTGGGTGGTAGGAGGACAAGGCTGACTGTTGCAAGAGCAAGCCACGTTCGTCCGGCATAGACGAATCTCGGACGTCCGTGCGCCCCGAGTGGGTGGTGGTGGTGTTGGTGGTGGTGTTGGTGGAAGAGGAGGAGGAGCAGAGAGGGAGGGAGGAAGGCCTCGACTCGGGGTTTTGGAAGTCTCGGCCGTGGTTGCAAAGGGGCCGCCAGGCTCGGCGCCAGCGACGAATCCGAGATGCCTGCCGTGTCCAAGGGGGACGGCATGCGTGGGCTCGCCGTCTTCATATCCGACATTAGGAATTGTGAGTCTGGCTTTTTTTCTTGTTGCCGCTGTCGTCGTCGTTGTCGTCGTCGGTGTCTACGAGGAGCTTTCGATTGTGTTATTACGAGAATGTTGACGACTGTGACCGTGGTTCTCCCGTGGGGGAGCCGGCAGTGTCGCGGCCGCGCAGTACGCTACGAACCCGGCAAGAGGCCCGAGTTGGATTCCCTCTTTACGGGCAAACGCCGCCAGGTCGACGATTTATCTGAACCGGTCCTGGGCCCTCCCCACCCCTCCCCCTCTAGGTCGACTCAGCCTCAAATTATTACCTGGTGCGGTGTGTCGTAAACACATCGCCACCGGGGGAAGACAAAGGCGGTCGGGGCCGTGGTGTCGCTGGCCACCCCGTACCCCCCCATCGTGTGTCACAGTGTGTACACGGGCCTTCATAGGTGGCGGTGGTGGTGGTGGTGGCGGCTTACTCGCTAACGGCACTTGCCCCCCAAACAGCCTTGTTGCAGGCTACACGGGGCATCTTTGTCTTTGTGTGCGGGGCGTGGTGGTTTTTATGTTGTTGCCGAAGCCAAGCGTCCGAGTCCTTCTTTTGTGGCGGGGGAGGGCTTTTATTTTGCTGCCACAACCACCACAACCACCAGCACCACCAGCAGCCACCAAAGTGTTGGTGGGGAGAGATGTGGAGGAAAGTCGAGGCCACGTTCGTCTTCTCGTGTTCGTAAATGGGTGGCTATGATCGCTGACACGACAGCGATCATAGCCACCCACCACCAACCACACGGACCAACCTTCCCATCATGCAGTGGAGGGCCGTGGGGAGGTTGTTGAAGTTGAGGGCCGTGGTTTTGACTTTCACCCTTTGCTGCTGTTTCTCGCTCTACTTTGGTTGACGCAGCTAAATGTAGTAGATATTCTCGTTATCTCCCTGTCTCGTTGGCCAAGTTTGGAGTCGGGTTTCAGGTCCTAAATTAAGTGAGATTTTTAGTCCGAGACGTAACACTGGCCCCGTTGAAGAAGCCAAAATGTTAGTGGTGTTGTTACCCCCAGACTAATTGGCGAAGTTGTAGTCGTCTTGTAAATCAGGTTAGGTCCTAACCTGAGCCTGACCCAAACATTATTTTCAATTAACCCATCTCAAATCGATAGAACCCCTGCCATTTACACGTCACACTGATCCATTAACCACGGCCGAATTCTTGGCTTTAGTTTCACACAGAATCGCCCATCCCGAGTTAATATCACAACTCCTAACTGAATTGAGGCACAACGATAACCCTGCTTTTCCAGCTGCTTTATTTTGATTTAAAAAAATGGCCCGGTTAATTCCGTTAAAAAAAGTTTTAAAATGTTTGATGGAGAGCGGACAATAATTTACGGCTACTTCATATTTTGTCGAAAAAATGTCATTCTTTGTATGCTGAGATAAGCTCCATACGAAAAATTGCAACCGAATTGGAAACAGCTCGGACTTATCTACTGTACTGTAGAAACAATACATTAGACAACAGTAGTTGCCGTTAAAGTTAAATCATTCGGTGTTAGAAAATGAGAAGGCATTCGACTCACTGGGCGTATGTGAATACAGTTTGATTGGGATAAACCTCGCTGTTTCTCTTCTTTATGGAAACCCGGCGACTGTAAGTTAACATTGACCCATTTTATCTGCTAACGTGTCTCTTAAAGAAAAGCACTTGCACTTCTAACGAGATCGATGCTTAATAAGCCAACTTACACCTTACCGAGAGAACAGGGCTCTTGGTGATGCAAGGGCATGTTTAAACACATCTTGCCACCAAGTGCAGTTTTGCGTTCAATTAGCTGAAAACATCTCGTCCGTTATGTAATGTGCCATTGTCAATTTTTGTGGCGTACTGTATGTCTTGTATTAGTATTGTAGTTTGGAAATTAATGGGATTTCCTCTCTCTTTCTGGATTGTTTATTTTCAGGCAAAAGCAAAGAAGCCGAAATTAAAAGGATTAATAAGGAACTTGCAAATATAAGATCTAAATTTAAGGGTGAGTGGTTTTTATATACTCCGAAGTCAAAGATGCCGTCGTAGATGTACGTGTCTTTCACTGCCATTGCTTTAAAGTTGCTCAGCAACTATTCTTTTCTCAGGAAGAGATAAAAAATTTGCAGCGGGAAGCAGTGCACTAGTCCTGCTTTGCCCTTTTTCTGTTTACCCTTGTATTCAAGTTTCTCTGAACTAGTCTTGTTTTTCCATGCCTGGAACAAAAAAAAATGTGTCGTCAATAGGGGAAACTCACGTGGCCTCTTGGTTATTTTTATTGAACGTAGGCATAGTGGTTGATAAGCATGCCCAACAGCCACCCATATGTCCACCGTTTGGAATAGCACTAAAAATAAACAGCTCTTGCTCCTGGCATGTTTGAGAGCCCCCTCTCTATTGATCTGCCAACAAAGTTTGTGCCGGGGTTTCCCCCCCCCCCTTTATCCTTGAGCAGGAGACAAGCCATTGGACGGTTACAGCAAGAAGAAATATGTCTGCAAACTGCTCTTCATATTTCTACTGGGACACGACATCGACTTTGGCCACATGGAGGCCGTTAACTTGCTCAGCTCGAACAAGTACACCGAAAAGCAGATTGTAAGTCAGGGATTGTTTTCTACGATGAGCTATGATTTTAGAAACTAATTTTATTTCAGTTTTATACTCATTCGTTTATATTGTAAATGGAATTTTGCTGAAACTAGCAAGTGTTCATATTGGATTTTAAAATCCAAGACGGAAGTTACATTTCTGAAGAAAATGGTTACAGCCAAGAGGTCTGGCTATGCATTAACACGCGTGGACGTGTACACCCCTTTGCGTTAATGACTTGCTTTAATGTATATTCCCTTGTAAAAAACAACAACAACCTTTGTACGTTTCCGACATGTGACATAGAACGTCAGCAATGCAGGAATTTACACAACCGTACTTTTAAAACTGTTAGAAGCAGTGTTGAAAAATGAAGAGAGAAACGCATTTGTCATTTAGAAAGACATTTTGCGTGGTAGAAACCTATTGGTTTTACTTATGATAAATTAAAAGCAGATGTTTGTCCTGTCGTGTTTAACTTACTTGAACTCTTAAGATGTGTTAAGCCCCTCTGTTGTTGCTGTAAAGTGAGAATTTTATTTGTTGCTTGCATGATTATAGTACATTTTGTTGCAATGCCTGTATCTACATCCATTGGTGCACACGACGGCACTATTCAGAGGGTGCAAATTAATCTCCTGTCAAGACTGCTACTTTGTAAAAAAAGTTTATGAAAAACCTCAAAAATGGTCTGATTTACAATGGCCCATCGAAATAAAAAAACTTGGTGGTGGAGCAGGGGGGAGGTCACCTTCGTCTTCTTGCACTCATCCGTTTCCATCGACAGCTGAAAACCCGAGCTACGACAGGGCATTATTGTATCTAACACAAATGCGTTTTTGTAGGGCTACCTATTCATCTCGGTGCTCGTGAACTCAAACAGCGAGTTGATCAGGTTGATCAATAATGCCCTGAAGAATGATCTGATGAGTCGCAACCCTGTAAGCATCTGCCTGGCTCTGCACTGCATCGCCAACGTGGGCAGCCGCGAGATGGCCGAAGCGCTGGCTGCTGAAATCCCAAAGCTGCTCATCTCTGCGTGAGTCCTCTTTCTTCGTCATCGTCATCATCAGATATGATCTTTTCCACTGCTGGATGAAGACCTTCCAAAACCGCCACCATCTCTCTCAGTCTTGCGAAGCAATAATCCATCTAGCTCCTGGCACATGAGCCAATTTAATTACACCACCTCAGCGGTGCTGCAAAAACATGAAAATAATAATGTCTTATTACCTTAACATGTTTTGACTGATGCGATTGGGTGGATATGAGGATCGAGATATAATTTATAGTTGTGTGCAGTGTCTTAGACTGCATAAATACTTTTTAGATAAAGTTCTAATTTTGTCTGGTTTGAAACATGTACATTGAACTTATATGGGTATCGTCCACTCAGTGACTTATCTAAAGAAAATTGCAACTTGATAAAAAAAAAATGTCTGATATGGCAATGTGCAGGGACACGATGCATGGTGTGAAGCAGAGTGCTGCACTGTGCCTGCTCCGTTTGATTCGTGGCTCCCCTGAGCTTGTGCCGCAAGGTGATTGGGCATCACGTGTCATCCACCTCCTCAATGACCAGCACATGGTAAGACTCTTTGCTCATGCTATACTCCAAAGCGTTGTTTGACTCTTGAAACAGCTTGGATCCATATTACATCCTTGTTATATGTTGATCATTTGTTTAATTGAGTCGCATGCTTCAAAGATGACGGAGTAATGCATTGTATTAAGTAGGCATGTAGTGATTCACTCTCCCCAGTGATTGATTGGATTGTTCACAATTTGGGGGTTATAATTCAGTTCAAGAATAAATTATTTTTGATCAACTTTTGATCCTCGTTTGTATTATCCCATCTTTCTGTTTCTTATATCGAACTGTATGATTCAATTGATGTATCTCGGGTGTTGAAATCTAATTTAATCAATTAATTGTTCTTCAATTGGAGGCACTCAACCCAGATGTGGCCCACAAAGGATGTTGGAGTGGTACGCCCAACTATGGCCCGCCGAGAGATGTAGCTCGCTGAGACATGAAGAGTTGCAGATTAGTGAGATGAAAAAACAGGATAGAGATGAGAGACCTGAACACAAGAAGTAGAGATTAGTGGGTGCACGTACAGACTTTACGATGGCATGACGCTGTGTGATGTCACAACGTCTGTATGCTTCATCACGTCACGTAGCCTGCCAGAACACGCTAATTTTATTGTGGTCAGCTGGAAAATATAGTTGAAGAACCTCGAATTAATCAATGCATCATTACGTGCTTAGCATTACATTTATTAGTGCACCACCGAGATGGTTTTCACAGGCTTCTACAGCAAGTGCTAGCGATGAGCTGTGGTGGCCGAGCGTGTTCACGACTTACATGGCGTTGGCCGCTTGTGCGGCCGTGTGTGCTGGTGGCAGGGTGTGGCTACGGCGGCGGCGAGCCTCATCACGGCGCTCGCACAGAAGAGCCCTGATGAGTACCGCGGCAGTGTCTCCCTGGCTGTGTCGCGCCTCAGCAGGGTGGGTCTGTCGACAGGTTGTGCCTGTGCTTGTATACATGCAAACGGGTACAGGGGAGGCAACGCAGCAATGAGATGGAATGGGATTCATATTTGGATGTACATGCATAGCTCTTTGCCAGTTCGCTGTTGGACAGGGGCCTCCCAACACTGTGTGGGCCATTTGATCATACTTAAAGCTGGTGCGTGTAGTTATATGAAAGTGAGAGCATAGAAGTATTGTACAATAGTGGATTTTTACGTACTATCCTTAGCCAACCAAAACCATATATCCCTGAAGCCAAAACACATGATGCATGGTGGTCACCCATCCAAACACTATCCAGGCTGAGCCTGACTGAGCTTCTGATATCTATGGAGATCGGGTGCATTTTCACATAAGAACTACTTTATCTGATTTGTACCTTGTCTAAAACGCTATGTGACACCTAAACTGAGATTATAGTAAACATATTAAAACCAACCTGTTCCCAGCAGTTCACGACCAATATAGATGGAATTAATATAGGTTTGTGGTCTTGCCAAGAGAATGTTTCTTTTAAAACGGTGCAGCTGCTTGCCATTGAGGCACATCAAAGTTAGCTCTGTTGTTACCTTTAATGTTTCATGAAACATTGCTGTCCTGTAGCTGGAGCTCGTAGCACTGTACAGACCTGTACTATTGCTTCTCGTCACCCTACCATTAATAGTGTGTTTATTTGTGCCATTAGGTTGTGACAGCTGCTTACACAGACCTACAGGATTACACGTATTACTATGTTCAAGCACCATGGCTTTCCGTCAAGTTACTCAGGCTCTTGCAGTGTTTCCCGCTGCCTGGTAAGCAAAAATTTGTGGACTGAAAACATTTTTAATAATGTGAACGATAAGTACATTTATTGTATTGGAATAAGCATTCCAGCTTCCCTGTTTTTAAAGCACATTGTGTTAGAGCTTAGCGCATCTGAAACATCATCTTGCAAAATTGAAAGTGTGACTGAATGTTTTAATGTAATCTCTTAGAGCTTTTCTCAAGGGCTATAGCATAAATCCTCTGATGTTGAGCGATCACGTTTTTTTTCGGGTCTTTGAAGCTTGGTGACGCATAGTGAAATAACATATATACAGTTTATATACTGTATATGCAGACCTCCGTTTTGTGTTTTCACATTATATAATAATATTTTATTTAAAATTCTATTTGCTTTCCAGACCAGTATCGTCCAATAACATTTCATTGAGCAAGCACTATGTTATAACGTGTTGATGGATTGCTATATGTTATTGGCAGCACTGTATAGAAACAATAGGACCATGTTGAAATCGTTTATTATAATAACATCATACTTTGTTGCTGGCAACCAGAGGAAACGACCGTGCGAGGTCGATTGAACGAGTGTCTGGAGAGTATCCTCAACAAGGCCCAGGAGCCACCCAAGTCCAAGAAGGTGCAACATTCGAATGCCAAGAACGCCGTACTCTTCGAGGCCATCAACCTCATCATTCACCAGGATAGGTGCGATGATTCAACCTACATTGTTATTACCATTATTATCTCCGACATCATCATCGGCGTCATCATGAAAATTGCCGCCATCCATGCCGATGTTATATACTGTGCCTGTCATGACTACAGCATGGTTTGATCATGCAGCTAAAATAATTGAGTAGTTTGTGAGAAAGCCAATTGAAATCCAATAGGATAGTGATGTTGCCCAAGAGTTGCCAAAATTCTTGTTAGACTAAGTGTGCTTATAAATACATTTGACATGCCAGTTCTTGTTAAGATGAGGAGCAAAGGCTAGACAAGGCAGGCATGTGCTTCAACGGTTCGGCCAAAATTGCTAGAGGTCAAAACCTAACATGTACTCTCTTGTGCCGACTGCCTTGCTGTTGAACTCAATTTCTCCTATTAATGTCACAAAACCGCAAGTCTGATTTAAAGGCGCAGAGCTAATTCGTCGATCAGCACATTTCTAAAGATAAACATTGTGTACACAGCGAGCCAAACCTGCTGGTGCGCGCCTGCAATCAACTGGGCCAGTTCCTGCAGCACCGTGAGACCAACCTGCGCTACCTGGCCTTGGAGGGGTTGTGCCTGCTCGCCAGCTCCGAGTTCTCGCACGAGGCTGTCAAGAAGCACCAGGAGACAGTCATCACTGCCCTCAAGGTGCGGCACATGTGCACAATTCATTGCCATATTATTGATGCTGCGTATAAAATCAATGGAGCGGTCGTGTGCGCAGTATTAGCAAACTGCTCGACGAACCCGGCAAATCGACGAGTTACATTCCCCCCTTCAACCTCTACGGACCAAGTGTGGTGAGCTATGGCTAAACGACCCCATGATAGAGATGGTTTAGGGCAGCCTTAATTCAGAAGTCAATTGACAAAAGTGCTCCAAATCTATAAAGAACAATAGAATAAGCAGCTTTCAGCTATAAATGAAAGACGCAGTGCATCTTTTGGGTATTATGATTATCATGTTTGCCCGGTATTTTTGCTTTCCAAACAATGGTAGCTGCCACTTTGTAAATGTATTGTTAAATGGTCATCGTTTTATGTTCATCATGCTTTTTCACACTTTTTATAATGATCTGCATGGCAAAACATCCATTTAAAACGTGTTTTGTATTGAATAGCATTTAAATAAAAGCTGAAAACGGCTTTATGTATGTATGTTGAACTTCTTTCGCACCGTACATAGCCAACCGTGCGAGTTGGAGGTGCGGGGTGTAATTACAAATCAAGAATTAGTTTAATAAAAAACAAAACATTTGAATTATTTAACTCGACGACTGTTTTTTTTACGAGCAATCCCAACCGAGCAACACGCAGCGCAAATTCATACGTTTCTGAAGGCGTGCTCCCGCATGTAACCCGTGTACCGGTAGACGGAGCGGGACGTGAGCGTGCGCCAGCGAGCCGTGGACCTGCTGTACGGCATGTGCGACCGCACCAACGCGCAGCAGGTCGTCTCCGAGATGCTGGGCTACCTGGAAACCGCCGACTACTCCATTCGTGAGGAGATGGTACGCTGCACACCCCATGTCTCTTCCTTGTACTTTGAAGGTCATGCTTCAAAGAGTTGTATCAAGCGCAGTTTAGATTTGCAATTGAGTTTGTTCTCCGTTTGTTGTGTATATTGTCGATAGAAGTGGTTCCCGACCTCGCTGTACTAATAACTTACTTTTCTAAATTAAAACGAGTCCAAATTGGAGTGTCTGCAATAGTTCCGCAGGCTTCTTTACATGGCCTTGCAAGACCACCAGTGGTCCACTAACCACAAGTTGGGAATCACTCGTGTTTTTGGACATTATATTTAGTCTGCACTCAATTTATTCCTTGGAAATGATCTCAAATAGCCCTTTTGTTGTGGCGCCTCCAGATACACGGTATGGGAGGTGCCCTATAAATAATAATAAAATAATGATGAAAGGATAGCAGTGATGAGGGCTTCATCTCATTTTCCCTTAATTAACCTCATACAGAAACCAATATCAATAATTAAAAATGTATTTATTTAATCAAAGAAGCCATTGTGTGTATCATGGCCAGTGTGTTTTTTTTACATTCTGATATTTGCTTTCCACCTCGGCGGCCCATCTGGACATGGCCGTTAGGTTTGAGGTTGTGCTTGCGACGTTGGTTTGTCTTTCCGGGTTGGCGATTGCAGGTACTTAAGGTGGCGATCTTGGCGGAGAAATACGCGGTGGACTACACATGGTACGTGGACACGGTGCTCAACTTGATCCGCGTGGCGGGCGACTACGTGAGCGAGGAGGTGTGGTACCGTGTTATCCACATCGTCGTTAATAACGACGAGGTGCAGGGCTACGCCGCCAAGACCGTTTTTGAGGTGAGAACCGTGTGTGTAGTTGTGTTGACCCTGTGTGCCTCGCTTGATCTCTCAAAAGAGCTGCTTCTTGAACAAAAATGTATCCTTTAAGCACAAATTATAGAAGTAAGCAATTAATATCGCGCATTATGTTCAAAATAAATTAATAGTTTATCGAATCATGACGGTAATTAAATAGTAACATTTTTATTGTTGCTTGTTTGAGGCCCTGCAAGCACCATCGTGCCACGAGAACATGGTGAAAGTGGGCGGGTACGTGTTGGGTGAATTTGGCAACCTCATCGCGGGAGACCCTCGCTCCAGGTGATGCCACACCTTCTGCTGCTTGTTGCTATACATAATCAATTTAAACATCATTCAGTTCTTGCTGCTGCAGTTTAATTAAGACCCTTGGATACTCATCGGTTTTACCCCATCCTGATGCCTGCAGCCCGATAGTGCAGTTCAACCTGCTGCACTCCAAGTTCCACTTGTGCAGCGCGTCCACACGCGCTCTGCTGCTGTCCACCTACGTCAAGTTCATCAACCTCTTCCCCGAGATCCGAAGCAGCGTGCAGCAGGTGCTGCGAAGTGACAACCAGCTGTGCAACGCGGACGCAGAGCTGCAGCAGCGCGCGGTGGAGTACCTCACCCTGAGCAACGTCGCCAGCACCGACGTCCTGGTGAGAGCCCCTCCGAGCGTGCAGGTGGTGCAACTGCACGGGGTGGGGTGGGGGGGACACTGGCCGGTGTAGCCCAGTCACCGGGCTACGATTAAAGGGGTGAGGGTGGGGAGGGATTGAAATTGGATAGGAGGCCCCATTTTATTTGTCCCACCAGGGCCTATGCCAACCTGAGACCCCACTACCCACACCATGTATAGTCTGGCTTAAGAATATGGATCCTTTTAACCGCGAAAACATTGTACGATATGCGGTATGTTATTTAGAAATAGTGTCGTGCCACTTTCTATAAGAGGATGGTGTAACTCAGAAAAGACAGATGAAGCTCTTATGAAGTTCATATCTCGGCTGTGTGTGTGAGGCTGTCTGTAATGAGTTTGAAACTTTGGTAATGAAAAAAAGACTTTCAAATCACAGTCAAGTGCACTCTAATTGCAATGGCATCCACTGACATATGCTTTAATATTGACACTGCAGTGGTATCATTAGATCAACTTTGACTGTTGCTTAAACATTGCTTTCTCATTAAGTTTAAAACTTATCGGACAATCTATGACACAAAAAGCTTAATGATGATTACTGTTAGCTTATTGCAATTGCACCCTGCTGTAATGATCCATATGTTAAATGAATCTGCAGTAGCTCCATGTCCAGCTGCTCTGGTGTGCCAAGATAATCCACTTTGTTGTTGAGCTATCATTTGTGGCCAAGTCGCTTCTGAAAAATAATCTTAATAGAGTTTTATTTGTACAGTAAAACCTTGGATTGCGAGTAACTTGGTCTGCGAGTGTTTTGCAAGACGAGCAAAAAATTTAAATAAATATTAATTTGATAAACGAGCGAGGTCTTGCAATACGAGTAGTACGTATACGCTTTGTCTGCCGAGCGTCACGTGATCACAACTGATATACGAGTGCTTTGATATACGAGTGCTTTGGATTACAAACACGTTTCCGGAACGAATAATGTTCGCAATGCAAGGTTTTATTTGTGTATTGTTTAAAGTTATTTGTTTACCCTTTTCTATACTTTGCACTTCGTGTTTTTGAACTGTTTGTAACGTTCTGACCCACCCCTACTGAACATCCGTCAAAAAGAGCTTTATGGCTCATCAGATTCCTCCAATATAGCTAAATATGCTGATTCTGAAGAGGTTCACACACATTCATCTAAATACGCCACTCTGAAGGTGGCTTCCAAACAGCCAGCTTTAGTGAGTTTGCAAAGTACGTCCGAGTGCCCGTACGTGTCAATAATTATTTTTGCACAAACATAAAAGAATGTGCCACGACAAAACCAGTGGGCTTGTTTTTACTCAATTCTGTATTTTGCACATACTTCACACACAACACCGGCCGGTATCACCCACCTCTCACACTTTGTTCTTTCGCTCTGGATCGAACCAGTTGGGGCATGCACTGTTATCCAGTTTTTAGGTTTAGGATGGGTATCCAGATAAGACAGCAAACAGGAAAGTTTTTTTTTTACTTGAACAAGAGGAGACCATGATATCAATTAAATAGCAATACAAATCATGCGTACGAATGTAAATGTAACAAATGACTGCATGCCACTGATGCACAAGCAGAAAATAAAAAAAACCTCACCAAGTTTGATGCACACTGCTTAAAGCAAAATAAATAGGTCGCCTTGTGTTTTTCTAATGAAGAAAGGCATTTGTCAAAAATATTAACCGGTGTATTTTTCTGCCATTAGACAGTTTTAAGGATTTGTGCAGTGCATTTTTTGTCCTTCGTTTTTATTTATTGTTATTTTAGTGATACTTTAGTAATTATATCCCATTGTCAATCCACCTGCTGTATGAAGGCCTCCTCATACGATGTGAGTCAGCCCACCCTGATCGCTCGCTTGTTAGTGCAGGCTGGTGATGTGGTTGGGGGGGAAGGCAGGACTGGATCAGATATCACCCGCCGTCTGCCCTAGCCATGGCTAGGAATCGAACATAGATCACCAAGTGTGTGTATGTTTTACTTCTTTTGCACTGTACGTAGCCAACCGTGCTAATCTGAGGTGCAGGGGAAAGACAACAAACTGAACACAAAAAGCAGTTCTAAAGAAATGAGTTATAGTGCAATGTGCTAACCACTATGCCACAGCTTCACCCCAGTTGAAACAACACTTGTGTGTTGAAATGCAGTGTTCCCGCTGGCTGGGGAGCACAGTAAACTAAAAATGTTGTGTTGCTCTGCTCCTGGTGACACAGGCGACTGTCCTGGAAGAGATGCCACCTTTCCCCGAGCGCGAGTCCTCCATCTTGACGAAGCTGCGCAAGAAACGGGGCACGTCAATCACCGAGCCTGACGATGCCAAGAAACCCTCGGGGTCGGAGGTCAACGGAGGCTCCGAAGACACGGCGCCACCCAGCTCCCTGAAACCGGTACAACCGACCTACCGCTTGGCACCTGGCGCTGCCCAAATCTCGGCTAGAACCTCTCCATTTGCCTTCACCGTTGTTCAATGCAAAAGTGTGTTTTTGGGGACTCTTGAGTAATGCTTGTTGCGTAAGCGACTGATATTTTAATTTGCACACATGATGACCTATATTGTAAGAGTTGCGCGTTTATAAATATACTTGCTTTCAGAGCTGGAATTGAGCCAATTTATTTGCAGAACCAAGTTGATGTGATAGCTTCTTGGTGACCATTAACTCGCCAGGCTTGATAACCCGGTTTAACCGCTGGCGGCTTCTTCGTTGCAAACCCTAGGGTCATAGCGATGCCAGCTCAGTGCTCTGACCCCTTAAGCCACCCGGCCTCCTTGAGCTTTCAATAAACGTACTTGTGCTCTGACAGTAAGGTGGCACTGTATAGTTGGGAGCCTTGGTAAAAAGTGGTCTGAAAGGAATGCACTCATCCTTCAAGTCCAGTTCATGTTTAAAAGCAAACTGTATGTATGTTCACAAACTAAAAAAATGCCAAGACCTTCTTGGCAAGAGGAGATATTTTAATGCAACCCTGTGAAGCCAATAGAAAACAAAACAAAAAGTTTTATTTCTGAACTACAAACAGGGCGTTTGTGTAACCATATCAAACAAAACTCAGTGGCCTTGTCCTGTTTAAAGGTCACGTAAAATAAACTTTCATCAAGCGAGAGTTACAAAGTCAGGCCTGCTGAGAACGAGAGCTGGAAGCAGGGAAAAACATGTTAAACGATCCAGGAACCTCCAACCCAAACCTACATTTTGCAGAAACAAAGTTCGAATGCAGTACTACCATTCCAGTACCCCCCCTTATTCAGTAATTAGGATATTTTTTTATCAGATTTCCATTTTGTCGCCTAAATCGACCCACCAAGCTTCTAGAACCGAACAAGGCCGCGGGACACGTGACAACAGGCTTATTTGAGGTGCTCTGTAAGCGCAGCATCGTTGCAGCTTCCTGGCGGTCGTTCCTGTACTTGGCAGCCGATGCCGTCTGTTGGAGCCGTGCATGTGCCGGTGGGCTCTGGTCCCGGGCTGGCGGGACACAGCGGCGCAGCCACAGGTGGCGGCAGTGGTGGCGGCTCCCTACTGGTGGACATTTTTGCAGATGCCGCGGGCTCTCAGGCCGGGGCAGTGCCTGACATCGAGGAGAACTTCCTCAGGTGAGCTGTGCCACTCGCTTGGGACGATTCTCAGCTGCCAAGGCAACGTGTGAATTATCTGGGCAGGGGTTGGCCGCTTGGAAAAAGTGTGGGGTTTTATGTTTGTGTTCACGTTTTCACATTGTCTATGCGTCTTGGGCCATCGGTAGGTTGTCATTTATTGCAAGATAGTTTTGAACGTGTTGGCAAACGTTGCACGTTCCTGTGATAACGATTGTATTAGTTGCAGCGTTGGCAGTATGCGTAATGTTGTAGTTATTGCAATTGTGACACAGATATGTTTTTGTAAGAGATCCGCTTCCAAGCAAATTGTAGTGTTATGTTTGAATTGAAGTATCTAATTAATTTTAACACAGTGGCCCATTTGTCATACATTAATTTTAAAAAAATTGCATTTTCTGATTTATTTTTTTTACGAAGTCAGTCATTTTTACATTTTTATTATGGACAGCCCACGTACAGTTTAACTAACATTGTATGAGATATAGTGCACCGTCATTCATGAGCACCTGTCTGTACTGGTCCACTTACAGTACTAAAACATTTAGTGATCCATGTAGTTGCTATTATTTCGTTAAGGTCAATTTTGGCGTTCAATTGAAATGAGTGTTCTTACGGCGCAAAAATCTGGTGCAGGAGGGAAAATGCTTCAACGTGTTTTACGACATCAACAAGGAAAGCAATGTGTTACACAATATAGAAACACATAGGCATACTGTGTACATTTAATTACACTTGTGTTGAAACCTCTTATTCCCACAAAGGGGAGGATAAGCCTCATACCGTACATGCTCACCTTTAATGTGAAACGCTTCATCAGCCTTTGCAAGAGGAAGGCCGCACTTTGCGGTCATCATGACCGAATTTCTGCTCTTCAGAGCCCCAACTGAAATATATAAACAATCGAATATAATTGGAATGTACATCATTAGACCTCCTTTGCCAGTACCAAAATGTAATAATAGGGTTTTTCCCATTTTTTCTGGCAACAAAACTGAAACCTTTTTTTACAAGGATTCATGTCTGCATTAACCACAATACCTGAAGTCAAAATGCAAACAAAAAACATACTATGATAATATATGCATTGTCCTTGAAACTGATTGGTCCACACCAAGGGACGGCTTTCTTTTGAGCCGTCTGGCGTCATGTGGTCGAGCACCAATTGGGTCGAGGCTCAAAAGAAAGCCGTCCCTTGGTGTGGACCAATCAGTTTCAAGGACAATGCATATATTATCATAGTGTGTTTTTTGTTTGCATTTTGACTGCAGGTATTGTGGTTAATGCAGACATGAATCCTTGTAAAAAAAGGTTTCAGTTTTGTTGCCAGAAAAAAGGGGAAAAACCCTATTATTATAATTGGAATGATTCATCACTGGCCTCTTCGTATGAAGAGACTAAACAAATGCATTTATTTCATTGTAATTTGTCATCGTGACCCTTCCACGCTTTTTTTCAGGTTCGTCTGCAAGAACAATGGTGTCCTGTATGAAAATAGCTTTCTTCAGATTGGCGTGAAGTCCGAGTACCAGCAGAACGTTGGTGTGTTTGTGCGCACGTCCATTTCTCGCTCAGTTTCAGCCACTCGCATTGCATTCCACCCTCCGTCGACGACTTAATGACGATGGTGCACTGTGCAATCTGTGTGTGAATGAACTGTGTAGGCCAGGTGTGTCTGTTTTATGGAAACAAGACCTCCAGCCAGTTCCAGAACTTCACTCCGACCATCGCATACCCAGGAGACCTGCAAGCCAATATCCTTTTTCAATCAATGAATTTGCTAGCATGCACATATATACATACAGTAAAACCTTGGATTGCGAGTAACTTGGTCTGCGAGTGTTTTGCAAGACGAGCAAAATTTTAAAATGAATATTAATTTGATAAACGAGTAAGGTCTTGCAATACGAGCAGTACGTATACGCTTTGTCTGCTGAGCGTCACGTGATCACACAACTGATATACGAGTGCTTTGATATACGAGTGCTTTGGATTACAAACACGTTTCCGGAACGAATTATGCTCGCAATCCAAGGTTTTACTGTATATACCCATTTCTAATATTTGCATGGTTAAATATTACCTGTTGCTGTAATTAATCGAATTATATGCTGTGCATGTATAAAACCAGGTACAATTCAACCACTGGAACAATTCTCAGACACTGAGGCAGTGTGGGTTTTCTGAACACGGGTTGGCTGCTTTGGAATGTGTAAGGTTTATTTATGCCCACATTCATTGTATGCATCTTGGTCTATAATTGAGAGATAATTGAAAGCGTGTTTGAACATTATGCCACATCATCTCTACCTATACTTAAATCTCTCCACCAGCTCCTAAATTAGAGTCCTGGATTAACTGTGAGAATGTCATCACTAAGATCCTCCATGGACTCACCCATGCCTATTGATCGCCTCTCATCTCACTAAAATAAACAAAAAAATTACTTTTTATTTTACCAGGTAATGCCCATTGAGCTATATAGCTCTTTTTCAGAAGTGACCCGGCCACAAATGATAGCTTAGTAAAGTGGCGGCTTATCACGTGCCAATTCATAGCAGTTAAATGCTCTGAACGCATGTTTCTAAATGTGGAGGCAAAAACGGAAAGGCCAGGAGAAACAACACGACCATGAGGAGAGACACACACGCAAGCTCCAAACATACGGGTGTCAGGGTCAGGATCGAACCCACGACCTCACTGCATACCAGGCGGGGTAGTTAACATCTTGCCACCACGGCGCCCCACAGCACTGCTGCACTTGCTCTCCCTTCCAGTCTTCTGTCAAAGCCGCAAATCAACCTTAGCTCTGCGGAGGTCGCTGTGTATCCTCTGTGGCCCCCTGTACTTTGGAATTCCTTGATTCCATTTGGCAATCGGTGCTGTTGACTCCCTGCCCCTGATCAAGTCCAGGCTTACCAACTTTCTCTTGCATTCCAACTTTTGCCCCACCTGAATTGTAAACTGGGCTGACTCGTTTCTGTCATCATTTAGTTAATTTTAGGCTGAACCTTGAAACAGCGCATAGGCATGCCTGCACGAGTTTTCTTTTTTGTAGAATATCCCTCGCAGACAGTCCCATAGTGACTTATAGTTATTTCCAATTCTTTAAAAACCACGTGCACCCAAGTACAATGACAGTAATTACCATTAATATTTTCACATTTTGAAAAGTAACTGATTGTCCTGATTCAATTGTAATACACATTATGAATGGAATGTCCCTTAACCTGTACCAGCATGCCAAGCTGTGTCATGCAAATTCATGACATGCTCCATATATCTGCCTGATATAAAACACATCGGTATATGTTTATACAAATTCTTATCTGCCTAATAAAGTAAAGCAGTGAGCTGAATCCAGGTTAACATCAACAAGCTATATATGCTCTTTGGTTCTTTATTTTGTATTTAATTTTTTTACCTACGTGACTTTACTGAAAGAACCAAAGAGGATGGGTTCCTGCAGTCACAAAAGCTTCAAATCAAGATCGAGGCTATATATGCATATTAATGAGTATAGAAAGAAGTCTGGGCCATATATTGAAATACGTTACTTTGTTGTTTATTGTGTGGTTCCAGAAACCGCAATATGTTAGGGTATATCTTATGCAACAAAATGGGGAACATTCCTTTCAGAAATTGAGCACATTTTCTTATGTATGGATATCAAAGTCCACTTGATTCACTTAGCAATACACAGTGCAACTTCTCAGGAGGTGGATGTTCCCAGCGTTGACAGTGGCTACAACAACAGTCACCACTATGTGGCGGTGACATCACTACGGTACTTGTGCCAGGCTAGGTGCACTTTGAGGCCACGGTAAGTGTTGAGACAGTGGCACACGCACGTGCGTGCATCACTCCGGCGCTGCTACATCCTTGACTGGAGACCTACAGCTGATAATTACCCAGAAGGCCGTGCAGCCCCAGGTGGATGCCGGCGCCCAGGTACAGCAGCTGCTTCGCGTCGAATGCCTCGGCGACTTCACAGAGGCGCCTGGCCTCACTCTGCAGCTGTGGTGAGCGATTCTCATCCCACACACAACTCCTTCACTAAACGCACCATCAGCTCAGACGAGCCACTGTCTACTTAAACCGGGGGTACGGAACCTTGTACTTACAGTCGAACAGGACTCTCAAATCTTCTACCTTTGGCTTTCTGCACTTTAATACATACCTTAGCGTTGTCCACTTGGAACGTTAAAAAACTATTAGGGCTCACATTTACCACACATGTACACTCACTTATGGGTAGATGTTGGTTTGAATTTTTGTTATAGATATGCAGCTAAGATGCTGGAAGTGATGGATATATAATTGTTTTATATATTGTTTGCAGACATTTCTAAGTGGTAGGACTCATGTGGATGTCGGCTATTTGAAATTACTGAAATATCATCTGCTTCATAGGTCATAGGATATCCACACCTGGGCTAAACTAAAGCAGGAATTGATTTTGATTTAAAGCTTTCGTGACTGCAGTAATTAATATTCTTAGCTCTTTCGGTAAAGTCACGTTGAAAGAAGTGGCCACTTTCAAATGTTTCTTGCCGTTGGTTTTCACACCTGATGATGACCGTTTGTGTTATGGTCGAAACGTCGTGAGAATTGTTATTGTTTTATATATATTTTATTGTTTTATTGTTTCCCTTCAACGTGACTTTACCAAAAGAGCTAAGAATATGAACAGGAATTGATTGCCAATTAAGTAACTCAGTTGGTTATAGGAACCTTACAGCGGTACCCCGGGGTTCCATAGTACCCCGGCTCTTGCATAATGTCCGTGATGCAGTCATTTTTAGACTGTTGATGGTCGGCGATGCGGCAATCGACTCATCTCGACGAGCTGCACACGATGCTCTATGGTGCTTACGAGCGTTCAGGGTTTCAGCGCAATCGTCCTCGCTGCGTTTCGACATCGCGGAGTAGCACCGATTTCGGATTGATTGGTACCCCAGATGCGGAGTTTAAGTACACCCCTGGAAAAAATAGTGTCCCAGAAATAAAATATTTAATTGCCTCGGCAATTTTGTATTTTTTAGTACCCTGGGGTACCGCCATAAGGATCATAGATTAATCTGTTTTTTTTTAGGATGCTTGGGTTCCCTAGATACATACAAAAAATTACTTTGGTCCTTTTGAGCTTTGGAACACTTGAAACGTTTGCTGTTTGAGGCCAAACAATCACAATTGCACACAATAGAAATTAAAACATTTAGAGTAATTTCATCTTATTGCCTTAATGTAAGAATTGCACTATGTATGTCTTACTCATTCTTACGAGTAATGTTTACACTATTATTGTACGAGTTTTCATGATACTGATTATAATGACTGTAAATGTGTACATCATGCAATAAAGTTGATACTCGGTTGTTTGGTTCGTGTTTCTCTTGCTCTTGCCTGTAGGCATGGCGGATCCCTGCAGCAAATTAGCCTCAAGTTGCCGATAATGATCAACAAATTTTTCCAGCCCACGGAGATGAACTCTCAAGACTTCTTCGTTCGGTGGAAGCAGCTCAGCAGGTAGTCTTAAAGAGGCAATGTTCATCACTAAATGGTGCGACCAATTAACGGCACAGGATGTATTGCCCTTGTTTATATTATTCACAACTTCTTCGCAATGCAAATATGTTTTGACAGTCATAATTTTCTTTTGATGCAGTCCCCAGCAGGAGGCCCAGAAGATATTTAAAGCAGCGCATTCCATGGACACTGAAGTCTGCAAAGCCAAGGTTTGTGGCTGAAATTACCCCGAACCCAGCTCCAGTCGTAAAATGCCACTCGAGCAATAACACTTTTAGCAAATTCCAATTTCCCACATGTTATCACCACTTAACTATGATAAAGAGCATAGTCCAGAATAGACGTTCTTTTGTGTACGAAACTGCAATTACAGTGGTGCATAAGCACAAATAACAATAACTCAAAACATTCAAATAGTCATTAGTAACACTGCCCAAAATAGGAAAAATTATGTGATTGATGTTGTTAGGCAATTGCCCATCTGCTATGAAGCTGTATACTATGAAGATGAGCCATTTCCTGAAAAAATGCCTATTATATAATTGATCCTCCTTAGGACAGCATTATTGACAGATATATGGTTTTATTGTTGGCTCCTTCCCGAGTTCCTGCAGGATTGGTGGTGAGTTTTTGTGTGGTTTTGCTGTGCACTCAGCTGCTGGGCTCTGGAATGGCCCTGCTGGAAGGTGTGGACCCGAACCCCGGCAACTACGTGAGCGCCGGGATCATTCACACCAAAAGCTTACAGATTGGCTGCCTTTTGCGGTTGGAGCCCAACATGCAATCGGAGGTACGTAACACATTCTGGCAGCTAATATCTCAGGGCTGGCTAGAAACACTACATAATTGGTGTCAGCAAACATCCCAATGCAGGACCCGACTGAAAACGTTTTTGGACTCGGTGTGGCTTTCCTGAGAAAATAACACACGTTTGACGCACTACACCTGGGGAGCCTCCTCTAGAGCAGTGCTCCTCTAGAGCAGTCCCGGGTGTGCTGCGTGTTCATTGGGAATTGTAGGAAATGAAAGAACCTAATTTGTTCACAAGCTAGGACAGACGGAACTCTGTGCCATTCAGTGGCCGATCCAGCCTCTTGCCCCTGCTGCACTCCACCTTCCATCATCCATTGGCCCTGGTTCAGTACGGCACGGCTTTCAGCCCCCACCCCGGCCTTCTCAACTCCCTCGACCGCACATAAGTAGTTGAGTAAATAATGCGCGGCAAAGATCGAGGAAGCTCCAAACTGTGCCGTGGAATGAAAAAAGTTAAGAATTTTATTCTTGCATATTGGTATTGCAATGAGTGTTTCTTGTGAAACGCCCAGCTTTGTTGTGTCAAATATATTTTCCCCGGTTGTGTTTATTGTGATTAGCACTGTTGGCTACGTATGGTGCAAAAGAAGTTCAACATACATTCTGTGGTGTACGATTACGTTTTGAGGCTGTAGCCCCAATCTGCATGGTTTGGTAATTGAGTTAACATCAGTAGCTCTTCACGAAGCTGGAACAATTTGGCATCGTGTTTTGCAAGTAACATCTCTTTTGCTCTCAATTGTCTCTTAAATGGAATCAATTACTTGGAAATGCTTTTGATAATTTTCCACCTCAGCCTATATGCTATGTATTGATTTGTGTATTGTTTTGCCCTCATGAAAAGTTCTGATATGCTTGCACTCTATACGATATTTTGTTTGACACTACATTCTATATGCATTGTTGTGCAGTTGCCTTTTCTGTTGGATTGCCCTGTAATTGGGATCTCACCAGGTTGAAATAAATTACTTAATAAGGCAAATGCGCCACATTTGACATGTTGCTTTGTTCCTCTCGCTCACTCCCCACCCTCGCACAGATGTACCGTCTCACCATCAGGAGCAGCAAGGAGTCCGTGTCGCAAAGGCTTTGTGATTTGCTCGCTCAGCAGCTGTAGGGGTCACCTCTGGCACGAGGGAACTCGCTTCTTTGGCAGGTGGAGCTAATTCATCTCAAACTAACAGCATCAAGTAGGGGTGTCGACATTAACCATGCAGTTCTATTATCGATCATCACAGGCAGGCATATAAAATTATATTGTATTTTTTACATTTACATCGAAAAGCAACGTCAAAATGTTTTGTTGATATATCGAAGTGTATTGTGGGTGGAGTTGAAGCTCGGCGGTCATTGTGCTTACCCTGGTCCCCTGGCTGTACTGCGTTTTGCGCTGGCAAATACGTGGGACTATTCTTGTGTGACATTAACAGGTGTTTTGTACACTTTCTTAAGCAGATGTTACCTGCTTTCATTTTTTTTTGGCTAAGCAGAGCTGCTCGCACAAGCGTGGTCAGTCGTGACTGAACGCTGATGATCGTTTGCGTGTTATGTGTTGGCTAAAGTGAAAATCAGTCTGCTTATCCAGATGGCGTTCATTGCTCGTCCATAGATGCCTCTTTTTTTGCTAGCTAGGATGTCATTTATACTGGCTGTAGGAGCACATCTATGTAGAGTTCTTACAGCTTTGTAAAGCTTACCAGCACCATTCCATTTTGTCTGCTTCAATGGCATTAAGAACTGACCATGGTTGCCAATATATACCAAGTCCCATTCCATTCTGTAAATTAGCAGTACAGTATTTTTTAATTGACCTTTTTTTAACCAAATGTAATTGCCAATGCTTAATACAAAGCCTTTTTAGCTGTAGTTTTGACATTTATATATGGATGTGCTTGATGAAAGAAATGAAAACACTAGTGTAATTGTTTAACTTTTACAATTTAAGATACCATTTGAAATGACAGATTTTAATTTTAACTACACAAGTTAGATGAACAAAAAATGCACATTTTAAGGAAACGTGGCCATTGCCGATGAGCAAATTTCACATTTACAAAAAATTATGTTGAACGATGCATGAAATGCAAATACTAAATTCATCAAGTAACGAAATAGCAGGTGGTCCATCTCATAATAAAGAGGAGCCAGAAGGATCCATGTGATCACTTGTTCGGCACTTTGCTCGGGTCTGTCGCCTTAAAGTGCCATAAGTGTTCTAAATTGTATATGTCTAACGTGATTAAAAATATTTATCATATTAACTCATAATCCCATTAGTTTTAAACTTGATCTTATTGTAAGACTATATAGGTAGTTGATATATTTTTGGTTGGACTCTATTTTTCTTTCCAAACCTGCATTTATAAAGTGACTTCCTTTTACATGACAAATTTTAAGTGGATTAATCAAAGCATATACACACGAGAGAAAAAATACGCGTTTACTTTACACGCAACTTTACAGATACTTCACCTGAGAAGTAAGTTCTCCAAGGTTCTTCAACCAAGATTTAGACATTGCGGAATAAGGAAGTTTGAGTTGCAGTACGAGGAGAGATGGTCATTAAACAGTGGAGGAAAGACATTTTAATTTTCATGTTCAATGGTATTTGACATACTCTTTGGTTCTTTCGGTAAAGTCACGTAGTTAGAAATAAAGTAAACAAATCACGACGTTTCGATTGCAACACAAGCAATCATCATCAGGTGGGAAAACCACAGCAATATTTGTTTTTTTTTTGCTGAAGTGGGAGAGAGAGCTGCCGTGGCAAGAGGTTATATAGGTAAGAAAAGGGGGAGGGGCAAGGGGAGAGAGAGGGGGGGGGGGGTTTGGGGAGGGGAGTGCTGCGTGAGCACTGTGGTTTTCCCACCTGATGGTGATGGCTTGTGCAATCGAAACGTCGTGATTTGTTTTATTTTATTTCTAACTGCGTGACTTTACCGAAAGAACCAGAGTATGGATTCCTGCAGTCACGACGCTTCAAATCAAGATTGGTATTTTACAATTTAAATTTATCATCTTGACATTATCACTGTAGGATATTTGATAAATTGCCTGAAAGAAGCATCACTAAGCAACAACAGCTAACTGGTACCAACATGAATTCGTGCAGTACTTCGCAATCGGTGTGCTGCGACAAAGTCCCAATTATGCCGCGGGCATTTCATAATTATATGAAAGAAACTCAAGCCTCCCCCTCCTCCATTGGTCACGCATGCGCAGTATGGTCGCAGTACAGCCGTCAGCCCCCACCGCTGGACCCCTCAACTCCCTCGGTTGCCCAGTTGGGTAAATAGACACGAATACACTCAAACACGAAAAAAAAACGCAGAGAGACAAGGAGATGTGGTGAAATCGAGACATGAATACGCGCAAAAAATACGGAGACGCACACATGAATACTCAGTTGTGCAAATTGTCATGGACTTTGGCATCGTCACTTGATTTCCCTTTTCTCGATTCGATAAGGGATCTGGAATTCTCTCGGCTATAACGCATTCCCACCCACCCACCCGCCCGTGTTCAGTGATATTTTAGCTTGGCGCGCCATAGATTGAAGAAAGCTGAGGTGTGCCATGGAATGTACAGGGTTGAGAAGCACTGAATTAGTGGCATACTGCTGGGAAATCCTGGCACACCCATTGCAGGCTATCGCTTTGCAATTCAAGGTACATGTTTGGCAAATTCTTGCACGTGGGATTTATATAGCAACCTGAATGGATTTTTTTTCAGTGCCTGCTGAATTTGGGGTGCAGTGGTTCACAATCTGGTGCACGGATATTGGAATGGCAGGTGTTTGGCAACTGAAAGCTCGACTGCCGTTGTTGAAGACTTGGCAAACATCACTGCACGCCCCTTAATCAAATTATCACTTGATTTGCCCACATCAAATATTGCAACACTCCATGAAAATGTCACATTTGCATATATACATTTAGTGCAATGTGCACTACTGTCAAGTTTTGTAGTTTTCATGCATTTCCTAAAGGTGAAGCACTACGTTGTGACCGAGTTGGTGGCAAATTGTGCCATGTTACCAAGTCTGTATTGAATGTGAAGATTGAGGTTTTCACAATGACCATAGTAAAAATTACAAGATCACATCAAGTGTTGTCTTTTTGAAAAAATATAAATGTCCTTGCTGCAAACTTCCTAAGTTGCCTTGTGAATGTCATCAGTTTTCTCGATCAACTACTGAATCTTCATTCCAGTGTAATCCTGTCAATCTAGTGCTGGATGAGGGAGGGCCTTTTGATGCCATGTGGAGGTTATTTGATCATACAGTACTTCAATATGCTGGTCATTGTCTTGGCGATTCAAAGTGTGTACAGTACATCATTGACACTGGCAAAAAAGTCTCGTGTAGCTGCTCACCCCGAGCTATAAATATTTTGAGTTGCATTGTCTTTACTGCTCGGCTTTTGGCGTTCTCATATGGTAAGACTAGGCCCTAAAGAAGGCGGTCTCTGGTGTAGAGGTCAATCAGTTTCAAAGAATGCCACATTATCAGAGCTTGTTTGTTTGCATGTTCACAAGTGCTGTGGTTAAGCGACATGATTCATTGCAAAATTTTTATTTCATGTTTGAACATTAACACCCATTTATTGCCAGAAAGGGTGAAACCTATTTTTTCATAATTTGCACTGCTCTCTTCTGGCAGCCTAAATAAACCTGTGCCTAGCACCCATCCAAATACTTTTTTGATCAGCCTTGTTTTTGAGATTCAACGAGGTACACACCAGGTGACTGTCATAAGCAATCCATCTTTGAACATGCACTGCATCTAATAGGAATATTTCCAGTTAGCTCTTATTTAAGAGTTAACATTTCAACTGGATACCCATTTGATTTTATAGTAAATTACATTTGTAGTGCAAGATACTGTGGACTACCTTGCAAAATTATGCATTCAGCATGACAAACTGGAACTTAAATTAGTGCTTTAATCGCATTATTTTGGAAGTGCTGCAGTACGTATGCTCAAGGCAAGTTTAACATTTATCGCATTTGGTTTTTGCAGTATTTCTCCTGAAGCTGGTTGTAGCACAATGCTTGTGTAGCAATTTGTATTCCTGTTATTGCTCCAGCATCGGTTTTCCAGATAAGAGGACAAGTCATTTGCAAGTGAGCCAGGATTACCATGTAAAACCCAAATTGGGTAAGAACACATTTTAGGGACTTTTTCAGAGCAATGCTTGGATGTGCCAATAACTGACATTTATTTTGGATATTAATATGGAAACTTTTATATCAGAATCACTTTTGTAAAAATATAATTGTGACTGGCAGTAGAGCCTTATCCTTTGAAATTGAACATCTTTTTGTAAACATTCCCCATACAAAGCCTTAAGAAGCAGCCTTTTGGACCCACTTACTGCAGTGGTATTTCATAAGCACAACCCATGTTGTAAACAATACGAAATATATCTGGATGTGGAAACAGAGCCTCCAGTCTTTACTCCATTAGTTGAAACCCATGTATAAGGCTCTATAGAGCATGCTGCCTGTAAACCTTAATATTAACATACAATAAAAACTCCAAACATTGTTCATTTTCGATTTTTATTGAAGGTCAAACATACAAGAAATAAAACTTAAGTTGAACAATGTGTGTAACGGGACTGTGGGCTATGGCAAATGTACCCAGACATTTGTGCCTACACTAACACAATTGTCAAATTAAGCCTGTCATCTGAAGAGCTAAACTTGATTTTAAATTGTTCATTATATACACAAGACTTAAAATAAACGTTGCACTAAATTTCAGCAATGTCTGCTGATTCATGGTAACAATGCAAACTTTTCAGCTACATTACTTGGACAGTAACATGAAGTATTGAACTAAATATAGAAAAAATAAGTTCAACTGCACATGTGCACATTTCAGACAGCCTTGCTTTGCAAACAGTCACATCTGAGCAAAGGTTGGAACAATCTCATTTTCCAGACTGCAGCAACATAGCTTTGGGATATTTCCTGTGGATAGGGAAAAAAAGTCCAACTAACTTTATACTATGCCGCCAACACTGTGGTGAAATGAATGAACTTGTCACTTCCGTACAATCTGTATAAAAATTACACCAACACACCACTTCCATCTTCTCAACTTCCAGTGCCTTGCAGAAAGAACTTACTTTCTGTCTGGAGAGTGAGAGCGGCTGTTAAAAAGAAACGGCAAAAAATTAATTTCCACGCAAAAATAGAAAACATACTTATGACGGGCCACAGGGGAAAAATGATGTTTTTTTAATGTACAGACGGTGCACAATGTTATTGTAAGGTGCAACCAAAGCTACTCTTCTCAGTACCTGCGAGAGCGAGAGAAGGAAGGAGAGCGGTTCTTTAGGGGGCGATCATTGGAGAATGATCTGCGGCGAGCCTCTCTTGGGATCGACCTGAAAAACATTCGGGCAAGGTCGACACATTAGTGTGCGCACACAACCATCAAGGAAAGAGGAAAAGCTCATCATTTTTCTTCTTAAAAAGCACTGCTACTCAGCTATTTTTTTCAAAGCTATGGAAATTCAGCAGGAAGTTTATCCACATGAATGCCATTTCATTTAATCAACCTTCTTACCAAACCCACAAGCACTTACCTGCTGCGGCTACGGCTGAAGCTCTTCTTACGGGGAGATCGGGACCGCGATCTGGAAGCCATACATTTCAACAATTAATGCAGTAACTTTACTCACTTGGCATTGCATTTTTTAAATTATCTCCAGCCTACTCTTAAAACACCAATTATTCCCTTCACCAGGCACTGCTACCATGCTACAGTTCACCTAAAGGTTACTATAATGCAATGTCAAGATCATGTGCATTTACCTTTACAAATGTTGTACTTTAGCCAGTGATACTTCAAGCTTTACACACAGAACTGGTTTACAAATGTGATCCTATTGTTTACCCCCTCAAGCTATATATGTGCTAAATGTACATGTTAACCAACTTACATATACCGATAATTGATCGCATGAAATACTTAAGTTTTAAGTCTTAACATCAAGTTGTCATAAAATCTAATTTTACAAAATTATGTTGACATATACAAAGCTTACTTTACTGCAACTACAAAACAAATCAATATTTTGGGTCGAAAACCACAATTACAAAAAATATACATCACCCCATAGTTAAAACAGTAATACCAGCACAAGCTAGAAAAATGCCCGCGATGCCGGGAACCTGACAATTGGTGGTTGCGCTGCGTGGCAAGAGGTGTCGCGATGCGAAGGAGGGTGGGGAGAAGATGCGGCGAGGGTTGTGCTGGATTTATTCTGTAGTCTGCAAACGGTTGGCTATGCCGCAGATTTTCTCTTTTTCCCGATTGCGTAGTGCAGGGCGGAGGGGCGGGGGAGTTGCGAGGGCCGATTTGGGCCGCAGCGCCGCGGGGCTGGCGGTGGGCAGGTAGTAGGGTAGAGGAGGAGTAGACTGATGGCGGCTCTTTAATTGCACGTAGGCTGGAGGACACAGCCAGGCATGCTGAGCCCGCCGCGAGGCTTGCCACGCTCGTGCGTTACGAGACTAGAGACACCCCGCGTGGCGAGCCCACCACGCCGCGCAGAAAGGCAACGGGGATGGACTGGCTAATGTAGACTCAGAGGGTGATGAGTAGAGGCGTGATGGTGACTCTGTAAGGGGGGTGTCAGTTTTGGCAATTAATACAGAAAACATCAACATTGGATACAAATTTTATACAAAAAAACGTTTAAAGGCACACATTAAGATCGCATTAATTTAACTGCACCTAAGATCACTGAACTCTCCAACCAAAAAATGGAAACAAATTATAAAACGGTGAACAGTTAATGAAGGCCATTTACGTCTTAAATAATTGTCCGACACGTTCAACTGAATGAATTATTATTTTTTTCTTAAAAAGTAAACAAATGCACGCTGTGGTATTGAGCCGGCCGCAGCCATGGGCATGCAAGCCGTCTCACCGCGAGCGGCGTGGGCCAGGAGCAGGGCTCCTCCGCTTGTCATCCTCGTACCGGGGCCGGCGATTCCACGCTGGAGGAGGACCACGGTTCCGGCTGCGTCCACTGGAGTGCTCCACTCTCACGCGCGAACCACACAACGTTCTGTGGGCAAAAGAGCAATGCTCACCATAAACTTTCAGGCACACTTATGCACGTTCGGTGGGTGCTTTGAAATGTTGTGGCATTCCTCCATGGGAGTGGGCATACCAAAATAACTTTAATAGACGGGGCACATAATTCGTTGTACCGTTAACATCTCACAGCTGAGCAAAGGTCTTGCCTTTTACAATCTCTTTCCACCTCCAAATCCTAAGAGCTTGTGGCACCATCTCATTTCCTGTCTAACTCGCCGTCAGCCTCCAGCTCTTTTAAATTTTGTCCGTCGCCCTACTTCCCGGCTAAATATTTTGGCAAACGAAGTTTGTTCCTTTTGCAGAGGAGAGAAATACACGGTGCGCACAGTTAAGCGGGTGCGAGGGCAAACAGGTGTGCGCATTGCAAAATGAGGTTTGCACTGAAACCGACAGTTAAGGGGCGAAGCGGGTGCAACTGCGATCAAACAGGTGCTAAGGGGGATACAAGCGGGAGTGTGTGTGAGCAAGGGGAGTTGTTGCCGGGAACCAAGAGTGAAGACATCTCGCCGATGCCGCTCCAGCCGTCAACGGGATCTCAACCCTCACGCCGGGCGGGTGTTGGCTGAACCCCCCGCCCGGGACAGACGGGTGAGCGGGTCTGAGGGAGCGTAGGTGAGGGCAGCGGTGGAGATGCGAAGTTTCTGTATGCAGAGTCGCTGAGTGCGAAGACGCTGTGTGCGGAGTCGCCGAGTGCGAAGACGCTGTGTGCGGAGTCGCTGAATGCGAAGACGCTGTGTGCGGAGTCGCTGAGTGCGGATCTGCTGAGTGCAGGATAAGTGAGGTGCAGGATAGATAAGAGCGGGGAGAAGTTACGTATATGTGACCATACAGATAGTTATAGGAATGCCTATAACTGGCGCAAGAACATGTGAATAAAGTGTAAGGTTACTTGTTACGTGTCGGTGCGAGTAATATTTGAAGACACTAACACTTTGTTAAAATTATACCCGTCACCTGGGTGCAGAATTGCGCCAAGGTAATTGACATGTCGCATCCATGACGAGACTAAGCCTAGGCCAATCAACTTGCCCACTATTTTGATAGGCTTAAACGTGCCTTGGTAACTGCACGCCGTCGTGACAACCAACGTTAAGCGACCGAATTCACACCCCGAACTTTTGCTTCACAATCAAGCGAGTCTTGCAATCCAAATACAGCATATTGGGCCATGATGGTGTAAACCATTTTGTTGTGCCTGTAGGGCATCTAAGAGACGCTCCTAATATATTAATACGGTCAAATGCATCCAAATAATTAATTAATTACTGACCACGACGGCCCCGGGGCATGGTTCAACAGTGCCTCCCCCTTGCCTGCCGCCCATCAATTTGCATGCAGTCCCGTACCTCCCGTCCAGCTCCCTCACGGCATCGCCCGCGTCACGCGGATCCTCAAACTCCACGAAGGCGAACCCCGGCGGAGCGCGCGCCACCCACACCGAGCGCAGAGGGCCGTAGTAGCTGAAGGAGCGCTCCAGCTCTGCCTTGTTGCCATTGTTTCCCAGGTTGCCCACGTACACCTTGCAGTCCAGGGGGCAGTTGGCGCTCATGGCGACGGGGGGGGAAGACGCGGGACGTGTGAACGACGAGAGATTCAGTTGCGCCCGCTGTTCCCTGCGCACATCCGGGGGGGGGAGGTTCACACGGAGGAAAAAAACAAAACAAAGATCTGGTTCAATTACGCGAAACACGAAGTTGGCTCTCGAAGTGTGCCTTGAAAGTGCAAGGCTTCGGCTCTTGTTCGTGGCGGCTTTCAGGTCGCATTATCGGTGGCTCAATAAGGGAATAGCACCGAATTTGAACCATGCAGCTCAAGTGTAAGGGTTGAAAGGTTATACAAATCTACGGATATGCTTTTACGAAGTACAACCTCTGGAAAATAATTACAACGCAATTGGTGAAATTAATGGAGGCATCTTAATGAGCCAACATTTCAAACACAATGGGTTCACAAATTACGTTTGCTCGGATAACGGATATTTTTAACGAATTTGCAGAACCAATAACGAATTAAAAAAAAAAGCAGATCGCTCAGAAACGTGCCCCCTACATACGAGACCAAAGTCTGATTTTTTAAAATTCAAATAATGCGAAAAGCTTTGCTTAAGATGCAGTAAAAAGGTGGCATGTTGTCGATCATCCCGAGTCGTGTTAAAAAAAAAAATAGGAAACCACGGTTTGCATTTTACATCCCACCCGCAGAGCTCATCGCTTTTACAAATCATGGGCATAATCCGTTGCCTTTAACTTGACGTTAGCCGCGTGCGTATTCATATCGTAATTATTCCGAGTGCCCTCTGCGCCTGGCCGAGCAATGAGTGGCAGCAGAGGCCATTTTAGTAACAGGCATGGACGGAGCCACCCCCACGGCCCTCGCCGCCCACCGCTGCTGACATTCACAACGGCAGGGACATCTCGCACCAAACAACTTCACTTCGACGCAACGTCTCTACCACCCCCCCCCTACTACGCCCAACCAAACGATGCGAACGCGTGCATTAAAACACATTCGTATTTAAACGCTGACGTTATTTTCGCCGTTGTAAATGAGCGGTAAAAGGTTGGCAGAGCTGGGCGCGCGTGCGGTTCTCGGGTCGCGCGCGCTTCAATTTAACCTCGCCAACGACATAGCAGCCATTGTTTGTTTACCTCACGCGCAAAAAAACAAATAACCAACACATCACGTCGGCGATTTAGAAATATCTACGATTTGCCGTGGAAAAATACAGAAGCTACGCTACGGAGGGGGCCATATCCCTCCGTCCTCACGCCTCCCTCTAGCGCGGTGGAAACGTCTCGAATTTTCGCGCGGCCCTTTTCGTTCGCAACACACAACAATAACAACACAACCGCCGCGCCGTCAGCTCGGACCACCACCCCCCCCCCACCTCGCTTAACCACCGCGACTCTTAACCGCCGTGAATGTAATGGCTGACGACGATGGAGGCGAGGGGGGATAAAAAACGCGGGCGGGCGGGTGAGCGGCCTTGCCTTCTCGCTTACAGCACGGCCACCTCCAACACTCCCGCAACACAAAATGGCGAAGGCGGCTGCGTCCTCACGCCCTTTTATAGCGGCGCCCGCACCCCACCCCACCCACCCCCTCACTTTTGCGTTCGCGAGACGCCCCCGGGGCAGCAACCGCCGCGCTCGTCGAGCTCTCGTGGCGCTGCGTACGGCTGTGCCCCTAGGGCGGGAGGGTGACGCTGTTGTTGTTTTGTTAAGTTGCAGTGACGTCACTGATGGGGGGTGGCTCGGGTGATGTTGCAGGGAAAGGGACAGGGGGAGGAGTGGGGGGAGTGGGGAAAAGGGGGGGGGAATGGGAGGGGGGGAATGGGAGGGGGGAGAATGGGAGGGGGGAATGGGGAGGCGGGGGGGGGAATGGGGAGGCGGGGGGGGGAATGGGGAGGCGGGGGGGGGAATGGGGAGGCGGGGGGGGGGAATGGGGAGGCGGGGGGGGGGAATGGGGAGGCGGGGGGGGGGGAATGGGGAGGCGGGGGGGGGAATGGGGAGGCGGAGGGGGAATGGGGGGGCGGGGGGGGAATGGGGGGGCGGGGGGGGAATGGGGAGGCGGAGGGGGGCGGGGGGGGAATGGGGAGGCGGAGGGGGGCGGGGGGGGAATGGGGAGGGGGGGAATGGGGAGGGGGGGAATGGGGGGTGGGCAGGGGGCGGTGCGCGCGCTACCCGTGATGCTGTGCGCCGCGACATGGCGGACCCCGGCTCCGGGTACGGTGAGAGCGGAGGGGAGAGCGGCGAGAGAGGGGATCAGAGAGGGGATAGGGGATCAGAGAGAGGGGATAGGGGATCAGAGAGGGGATCAGAGAGGGGATCAGAGAGGGGATCAGAGAGGGGATCAGAGAGGGGATCAGAGAGGGGATCAGAGAGGGGATCAGAGAGGGGATGGGGGATCAGAGGGGAGAGACGGGGGAGAGAGGTGATGGTTGAGGGGAGAGAAGGCACGCGAGGCGTTGTTAGAGGGGGGTCAGCAGAGTCGGCGGGGATGCGAGAGCGAGGAGGCGAGACAGCAGCAGCAGCAATGGTGAGACAGCGAGCCAGAGACTCGCGAGAGCAAGCGAGTAAGAAGAGATCGAGCAGGAAGAGAAGGGGTGGGGGAGGGAGCCGAGGAGGCGTTAGGGAAGGCAAGAGGGCAGGTGACAGATTAAAGACGTGGGCTTGTAGAGGTAAGGAGTCTCCTGGCTCACAGCAGCTGGGAGCTGAGAGAGGACGTGGTGGACAATGGAGAAGTCGTCGGGCGAGGAGAGTGAAACGGGGAGGTGTCGGGCACGAGGTTTTCGCGCGGGCGAAGCGTCGGCGACTGAACGGGAGATGGGGACCCCCCACGGAGGATGCGACCCTCGGGGTTAGAGGAGGGTTGGTGGGCAGGGTACGTGAAGTGTCCGTGAGATCTGGGGTAGGAGGGCAAGGGCAGGCTGGGTGTGTTGAGAGCAGGAGACAAAGGGGGTGGACAGGAGAGACAGAGAGAGACAGAGAGAGAGAGACGTGCTATCACAGAAGAGCATTAAGGACAACAATCCGGACTTGATATATACGGGGTGGACGGACCCAAACGTGAGTGCTTGGACCCGACAGGAGGACAGGGATGACAGGTGGACATCACAGACGGGGCCCGGGACACTGCGGCAAGGGGACAGACCCCGGGGGGACCGACAGGACGGACCGGAAGGCCACCGACGCCACGTTGACGTGGTGGGGGCCTGGAATGTTGTATTCGTTTGATGTTTTTACGTAATATTTCCATACGACATGAACAGTCTGATTCATTGATGTTGTACGTGTGTGTTGTTGTTTTTTTCTGTATCGTTGCAAGCAAATCCTGCCCACCGTAACGCGTTTAACAGGTACGTGAGGAGACGAGGCACTGTCCAATATACGTTTTGGATGTCTCGGTAACAACGCAAAATAAAGTGACCAAGTGTTCAGAATTATCCACCCAACAAAATAAGAGTGTTTGCAGGAGGATATCACTTGTGGATAAATAGATTTTGAGTAATTGTGTGGCAGGTAATCCACAGTTGCAAGTATTATCACCCGCATACGTACTAACAAGGGTCACGAAATAATATATGTAGAATGGGATACCAATGTAAGCTGTACCAAATACGGCACACAATCCTGTATTGTGTCGTGTCTGTTTACCCTGCCTGTAACATGAATCATATTTACTAGTGCTCCTGTTTAGTCGTGATAATACAAGGCCATCATTGTTATATATTTTTTAGAGAGGCCACCACTCTGCTGGACAATTTGTTGAACCATAATGAATACCGTTGTGTTGGTGCTTTTGTTATTGCTATCCTGTTCAATTGTGCTTGACCTTTTCAGGTTTGATAGAGGGAGATGAGTGAGTTAGACGTGGTCTAAATGTTAGAGAATACACAGGCTGGTAGCTTGAGGCTCTACACATTATTTAGCATACGTCTCTTCCTCATTTGTTGGACTGTGACGTGGAGAATACATTGCAGTAGGTGTGTGAAAGGTTCAAACAACCGGCAAGTAAAAAATATAAACTTTGGAACAAATTTCAGTAAGTTCGCCGACTTCACTCTTTCGTGAACCTCGTGTACGATTCGACGCAAATCAGTGTCAATGCACAGCATCAAACAACACGCCGTATTTCGATTTAAAGCTTTCGTGACTGCAAGGATTCATCCTCTTTGGTTCTTTCGGTAAAGTCACGTAGAATGAGAATAAAATAATAAAATAACACAATAAAATTCTCACGACGTTTCGGCCACCAACAGGTGAAAGGTACAGACCTTGTCGGGATGACAGGTCTGTACCTTTCACCTGAAGACGGCCGCTTGCGTTGTGGCCGAAACGTCGTGAGAATTTTATTGTGTTATTTTATTATTTTATTCTCATTCTACGTGACTTTACCGAAAGAACCAAAGAAGATGAACACGCCGTATGCATAAATAACACGAGTTTGACCTCATTACTCACTCTGAAGGACACCCCATTCACCGTTTTCTTGTGGTTATTCTCCAAAATGTATATGTTTACACGTTTTATTTACGAGGCAGTGTTTGCTCGTTAGTGACTTTGCCTTTTTTAAAGCCGAGCTTGTCAGTTTGAGAGTAATGATTTGTTAATTACAGTATAGTAATAGCCAATGACCAATTCGCACAAAAAGCACATACTATTGTCATATCTGTAATATCCTGGCTCAAACCTGCACGCTAAGCAGGGTTGAGCCTGGATATTGCTGAGATGGGTGATCAAAATAATATAACAGGTGTAGACTGCTCAGTAGCTGCCAGCAGAGGGCAGTGTAGACAAAAATATTTGTTGTACTGTAAAATGCGCCCAAAGTCTATGCTCCTGCCCAGCTTCAACCTCCACTGGCCAGAATGGTGAAATATTGTAGCATAACGCCCACGATCTAAACAACATGGGGAGGCATTCCTCCAACGGTAGATTTATAAAAGGGCAGTACGCGTACATGCCCAGTACATCATTCGTGTTCCCCTTGTTGGTGGCAGAGTGAGCGTGGATGAGAGGTGGCGGCGATGAGGAGGCTGAGCAGGAAGAAGGCCCTGAGTGCCGTGCGGGAACTCGACGCTTTCCCCAAGATCCCCGAGAGCTATGTGGAGACGTCAACCAGCGGAGGCACAGGTGACCACCCCCGCATGCATGTGAATGTGTTACTGAGAGGGGCGTCAGTGCAGTGGTTCGCATGGTGTGCCCGCAAACTCGGCAAAACCCGTGTTCGATTGGCGGCCACAGTTGACGTCGGTGACAATTGGTCTCGGAACCAGTATCGTGGTTCCCCAAGGTCGAACCTGCTTTAGTTGAGTATATGGTGTCGTGTGTGAGCAATATTGGCATTGGGGAAGCAAAGGTGACTGGGAGTGTTGTTGGCCACACTAACCTCATGTGTGCTGTTCCAACATTAATAGGTGGCTGCTAATAGCATTTGTGTCAGTCATTTATATGGATATAAGGGGGGTTCTTTGTGTTTTTCGGCTATCCCCACTGCACTATGAATTATCTGTTCTATAATAGCTGTTCGCGAATAGCATTGGCGCCAACAGTCATCAAGGCTCAACAGGGGGGATGTCTATGGATCTGTGAAGACCATCTTGTGAGACATAAACATGTATGCATGTGTGCAAGTATTTTTGGCTCACGTAGACTATCCATTGCAGGCATGCCATCTGGTGGGCATTGATGGACGGTCACAAACCGAATATAATAAAAATATATATATAGGACAGGCTTATGCTAGTGTTATAAAACATGATGATGCATCATGGCAGTCAGCAAAGTTGCCAGGATAAGCAGTGCTTTGTATTCACTTTATTTGAATCTCATTTGTGATTCTGTAACAGTGTAATAATTAAATTATGCGATATATCAACATTGAACTTGACTGAACAAACGCTGACGTTAAGGTTTGCATATATTTCACTTTAAATATTACGTGTTCAGGAGATGATTTGAGGATTAGAGTTTTTGTGTTTTTCAGTACATACTGGGGTTGTTTAGCAAACGATTAATTAAATAATTGTTTCGTATTCTAAATGTAATTATACTTATGCATAATTATCCTAGCATAGTCAACTTGAGCCTTAGTCGGAGCTGCTAAGGTAGGCTAATGGTTGAGAACCTGGTGCCATGATAATACGTTTGTCCACGACCTTAAACGATATAACTGCTGAATACGTAATTCTCTCTCTTGCAGTTTCACTCATCGCCTTTACAGCCATGGCTATCCTTGCGCTATCAGAATTTTTGTATTTTCGTGAGACGTGGATGAAGTACAGTTATGAAGTAGACAAAGATTCAACAAGGTATGTATTAACTATTAATTTCCGAAGACATAACTTGGGCATGCACATGATCCACCTATTAAAAACGATTCTCGACTAACACTTTATACTTTCATGTGTATTCATTTTTGCAGCAAATTAAGGATAAATGTTGACATCACTGTAGCAATGAAGTGCCAATGTAAGTACAAGAAATACATCTTTTAATAATTTATACTCTTAATAGCACCCATGTCTGCATCCTA